CTCTGCTACAGGTTGGAGGTGACCCAGCACTTGATGACCTGGCTACACAGTTTAAATAGGAGACATTTGTCTGCAAAAGCAGAGACAAACAAAAAGCAACAGGAGAGCTCCTCCACTGCAGACAGAAGAGTGTAGCCTCCTTTCAAAACCCTCACTTTGAAAATAGAGGTATTCCAAAGAGAAAGGCCACCCAGATTCTGAGTTCAGAACCAGAGCTGTTAAATAGTGACATGCCTTACCTAGCTTAAGGAAGCTAACTATCACTTGGCACTCTGAAGTTTGAGTACTTTGGGCAGCCTTACTTATATTTTAGAGCACAAGGATGTGTGTGTTCATGGCACATGATGCAGAAAAAATCATATAAACCCAAAACTGAGCAGTGACTTTGGGAAAGCCATGTAACAACAAGGACCCATCTGCAGCCAAAAATTCTTCCATAAGATCCTCCTCCTAAATACCACAATGTGAGTGTCTGGCCTGAAAAACTTGAGCACCATCTGGTGTGGGAACTTCTCATTTCACATCTCAGCTTTTTCTCCAACAGAATTTGCAAACATGGGAGTGGTAAATCCATGCTAAATGTAGTCATTATATGAGAATGTCCAGCAACCAAGAGGGCAGTAAGGACTGACAACAGAAGCAACAAGTGAGGACTGAAAATACAGTTTCTGAGGGAATTGTGTACGCTCTGGTGCTGCAGCACTGTGAACTACAGGTGCTTTTGTTTGAGAGAGATGATGGTGCTTTTTCCAGCTAGAAATCCATCAGAGGAAAGCAGATGCATAAAGTCTCATAAAGGAAGAGGTACCACAGGGCCTGAACTCATCAGTTGAATCAATATGATTTATAGCAAAACCTATCTATTTTCTCCAAGTCAAGAATACCCTTGGTATTCATAAATTTAAAACATAATTAACATCAAGATACTAAATGTTTCCCTTGCTCCTGTAACACTGTCATTATACAAATGGTATGTTTATTGTGCAGTTATTCACAGTGTGTAAAAACGTCATGTGTATGATGAAAATAATATTTTGTTCTTGTTTTTAGACTGGCACAGTTATAGTTGTCACACAACTTTTTGCAAGGTCTTTTGCAATTAAATAAAAATAAAAATTTACAAACTACCGTGGTGACCTCTCCTGGCAGGGAAATGTACAACCTCTAATTATGAAAACAGATTAATCCTCAAAGGAGGAAGTACACCTGGCCCACTTTATAGTTTATTTTTTCATTCCATATCCTGAAACATCTAGATGCCATTTCCAAATCAAAACTGACACATAAACTAAGAGATCATCAAGTAAACATTACAGCCTCTTGTAGAGACAAAAGCCTAATCAAGATGCTTTGCAAATTTTAAAAATACTTTTTCAACAGAATAACGATAGAACCAGATAAACTTATAACTGTATTATTAGAAAATTAGAACTTGAGACTAAATGGGAGGATAAAATGTTACCTAAACCTGGGGCAACTGGGAATGAAACTGAGCTGTAACTCAGTATCATCTTGAGTGTTGCAAACACTATTCACAACTGTGCCTTGCTCCACTGCACTTGTTTCCCTACACACTGTATAAGATTTTTTTCATACATCAGACCCTAAATATGTCTGCATAGACCAGTGAGAAATCTTCCACTGGTAGAGATAAAGGACCAAGCAAGGTTGGGGAAGCTACAGATTCATTTTCATACTACACTACAGGCACAGTCTGAAAAAAAAAAACCAATGGTACATGCATTTAAGATTTGTACATTGTTAAACAGCATGCACAGTGTCATTGTGACACTTTTTTAACAGTATTAGAAACTCCAGACTTCTCTCTGCAAGCATAAAAGGTTCAGAAAGAGCTAAGTTCTTCATCACCCATTCTGCTGTTATTTACCAATACAAGTCATTGTGTCAATGCCACTGTCACTCCCCTCAAATGCAGGCTACTAAACACTCAGAGGAGGGAAAGAAACCCAGTCAGGAATTAACAAAGCTCATACAATGTGTATATATGAAAAAATTAAATTAGAGTATGTCAGGCAGAGCTGGGAAGAACTCTCCTAAGAGTGATAGGGAAAACACAAAATGCTTGGTAGCTTGAGAACAAAAACATCCTTCAAACAACACATTTCAAGTTCAAGAAAAGCAATTTCACCAGTTCTGCTATCATGGAAGTAAATGGATTTTACCACAGTGAGGATCAGATGGAGATTTAGATGTTGTAAGTGCAAAAAACAGACGTTTCCTTTGAGCCCAAGCAAGACCATCAAATAAAACAATTGTGGCAGAGGGTAGGCCCAGCATCAGCCTGTACCTGAACCTGTGGCTATGCAATATTTTCAGTCATCTCAAAGACAACAGATTGACCTTCACACTGAAACACAGGCCTAAAAGGCACATTACTTCCCTCCAGAATTCACTTGAATTGTAAGAGACTTGAGAGCATATGCTTAGGGAATGGGAGGAAGAGAGTAAACGTTTTGGGGCTTTTTTTGCTCTTAGTTCCAGCAACTGCTTCTTCAATCCCTTTTTCTATTCTAGCTACAAACACTATGATATTCTCTCCTTTATATTCACAGAGCTTGTCTGAATCAGTCTTACATCTGACAAGAAATTTCTGTAAGACCATCCAGATATCATAAGAATGTAATATAATTAACATAATGACATCTTTGAAACACAAAGCTTTGATATCTTAGGACACATCCATAGCAACATCTATTACCAGTGTCACATCTCTACTCCAGTGACTCATATTATCCAGAATTGTACTTGGCACACTATCACACCCTCCCTAAGAAAATACAAAAACATTTCCATGTCTGCTAGTACCAAATACTATCCCTCTTGTCAGGCCTTAGCAACTTTCAAGAGGACATTTTTGAAATTGATCCTTCCCAAGTGTTAATATACCTGAATATAAAGAGAAGCAGTTTTCTCACAAGTGGGAAAACACCACAAGCATCACATGCCAGTATTTATTTGCTGCTGAGGGCTATACAAAGAATTACAGGGACCTTCACTCAGGAGTGAAACAAACCAATTTAATTTTTAACTTGATCCAGTAGTTGCTTTGTCCCAGTTTTGATTCTTTTGAATCTTTTTGAATATAAAAGCTTTGATATCTGTGGAGCCCTTCAGCTTTCCTTTTTCTCTTTTTAGAGTGCCTCAGAGTTTTAGACTGCCTTGGGATCCCCAGGAACACTGAACAGGTGAAAATGAACACTGGAAACATTTTTTGGTATGTTTGCTCTGATCATTCACACACTGCAAGTAAATTGCAAGTTATATGCAAACTTTTTATTTTGATTCTTTTGATTCTTTTTGAATCTGCCACACTGGCAATGTCCTCTGTTCCCAGTTTCAAGAGAGCAGGCAGAATGTACAGACACAGGTTTCCATATTTTGGAGAGATTAAACTCTGGTTTCATGAACAGTCAGCTGTGGTATGAAGTAGATCAGAGTAATAATCCTCCTAGGAGTAAAGAGAGCAGCAATCTCTACACTTCTGTAGGGTGAACACCTCCCTGGCTCAAATGGGAGACCCAGTTGGAAATTCCTTCAGGCAAAGGTGGGAAGATGTGCTCTAAGCAGGAGTCCAACCATTTAACTCCTGGCAACAAGTCTCCCAACTCTATGAAAAATAACTGTTTTAATTTGATCTAAAACCAATCTTTTATAATTGAAGTGAATTTATTTCAGACCAAAGAAAGACAAATGTGTTCTATGCAAGTGACTCTACAGTAGCTAGAAGGATAGTGACCCTCTGTACTGGCCATTTCTAGAAATGAAACTAAGGAAACAACAGGAGGAAAAACTCCAGAGAGTCATCCTCCAGGGTAAGGCTGTGACACAAGGAGGCTAAGAAATTGTTTCATTGACTGTGCATGATTCATTTGTTAGATGATAACATCACCCAAAAATAGCTGGCAGTGGCTGTGTGGTCACTCTGAGAGCCACACATCTGTCTCCATCTCATTACTCTTTGTTCAACAATGTGTCTGCACATGCACATTCCATCTGCACAGAAACAATCAGCTGAGCCAGGATCACTGTTTCCGTATGCTGTGCCTGTGCTGACCTGCAATCACCACATCTCAGGCAGCAGGAGAGGACCACACATGATTGGCTGAACACTGCACTTTGCTTGACACTGAGTTGTGGCTTAAAGGCCAAGCAACATTTGTTACAGGATTAATTTTAATCAAGATCTAAAATTAACTCCGGGATCTAATGATGCCTCAGTCAACTGCATGCAAAAGTTGTACACTTTAATATAGCCTAAGCCATAGGAAGTCACTATTTAGCAAAAGGAAAGTACAATAAGAATACTGAGAACATCACATACTGAGATCAGAGGATTTGAGTGGCTAAAATACAGATATTACAAGGAACTGTTTGAAAGTTATTTACTCCAGTTTTATCAAGTATATTTAATTTCCATTTTTCACTCCCTAAAGGTGAATGGAGGCAGGGGGGAACAAAGGAGGAACAGTGTCTAGTGTCCTTATGCAAGTTATTTATACTTTTGATTCCCACCAAGCAAGCATCACTGGTGATGGCAGTGTGACAGGAGCTCTTCCTTCCTGTTCTATAGAGTAGCAAACTAGGCTGACAGAAATCATCTACCTCTGAAAAGCAACGTTTTGGCTAACCTTTTACTATAAGACTTAGAAAATACACATTCTAAAAATTCATTCCTATAGCGTATCTTGTTCCATGCTACCTAAGACTGATGAACACCAGTTGTCCACTATAAGTGATACGCTTTGGGAAATGCAAGTTCATAAAAACTGGCAGTCTAACAAGTGTCCTCATAGTTAAAGGATCTAGAAAATTATTATCCCCATTAAACCATGACCTTTCTTTAATGAAAGCAGGCACTCTTTTAAATGTCCTGGTAGCATGCTTTGCATGAAGATTTTTAACAGTTATCACCCTTGCTCACCAAAAGCAATTCAGGTTTAGTCAAACTGATCAGCTCTTTTCCAGAAAAGTTCACTTACCATCCAGAAAAGAGTTCCAATGGCAAACTCAGAACAGTGCTCTATAGTAGACAGTACACTGAATATTAAACAAATCAGCACCAGGAGAAATATGTAAAAAAAAACAGTGTTTCATGAATTGTCAAGTTGAACTGTAAATCTGTATTTAGTTTTTTGTCTCTTTCATTCACATAACTTTTTTTTCACAAATACTTTGTATTTAATCAGTCAATTTTTCCTAGTCAAATGAGTATCATCATTTTGCATTCATTCAGCTTTCAGAAACATGGAATAAAAATGACAGGAAGGCTGAACACAGTAAATCAATAAGTAAATGTCACATTATCAAATATATTTCTCAGGGAAGGTTGTCATAGTGAATGTTTTACATTTCACTGATTGCTGTACAACTTCAGCAATTCTCGTTCTGGTAGCTTTTACTTGAAAATTACAGGTTGAAAAGCTTACCAGGAAGGGGAAAAACTCTTGTACAACCTAGAGACCGGTAACAAAATTAATTCCTTTGGAGTTCAATCCATGATCTCACCCCAGTGGACACTTTTATCAGTGTTCTAGAAGAAGAGATGTAATGCACCTCACCAAGTCCACAGCCCAGGAGTTTGGTCACTAAGCTTGAGGGCAGAGCCCCTGGTTAGTGGTGCCTGCACAGGCTACAGAACAGATGTACAGGAATCTCATAAAACTTGACAGAAGCAAACCTCAAGTCCTACACAAAGTGTGGGGAAGAAGACTAAAACATGTCCCCCTGACCTCCCTTTCCCAGGCTCAATTCATGTCCCTAATTCCCTGCTCCTGTGCCTGCCTCACTCAGGCATGCCCAAGTAGCGAAGAGGGATGGGGAATGCAGGGTTGTGGTCAGACTACAACACTTTGTCTCTGCCCCTCCACCCTCCTCCTCCTCCTCCTCACACTGCTCCCCTGCTCCATTGTGAGCCCTTCCATGAGCCACAGGCCTTCAGGATAAACCTTCTCCAGGGGCTGCAGGGAATTTCTGCTCTGGAACCTGCAGCACCTCATCCCCTTTCTTCTGCTTCTCTCACCCCGGTGCTCAGAGGTTGTTTCACTCTTGCTTTTCCCTCTCTTCTCACAGCCCACACTGTGCTTTTGACCTTTTCCTAGGAACTTTTCCATCTAACACTGGGGGCTCAGCAGTACATGTATACACAAAGATATAAAAGAGCACACAATACAGAATCCCAGAATCATTTAGCTTGGAAAAGGCCTCATTGAGTAAAACAAATCAATCCAGCATTTCCAGGTCCACCACAAAACCCTAAGAGCCCCATCTACACATTTTCCAAGTACTCCAAGCATGGTGATTCCACCACTTCCTGAGCAGCCTGTTCCATGTATTTACTCACAGATGCACTTCATATGTATATATCTATATATCTAGAGAGACAGAGTTCTCAGAATACAAATATGGGACAAAAAATAACTAGTGCAGAGAATTACTTGGATATGAAAACTCCCAAAATGTGTTTGCCTCAGACGGAGGGTAGGCTGAGCCAATATTCTTTATGCAGCACGTTCAAACCACGACAAGAACCAGGGAAAATGAGACAGCTTTGATATCTGTGGAGCCCTTCAGCTTTCCTTTTTCTCTTTTTAGAGTGCCTCAGAGTTTTAGACTGCCTTGGGATCCCCAGGAACACTGAACAGGTGAAAATGAACACTGGAAACATTTTTTGGTATGTTTGCTCTGATCATTCACACACTGCAAGTAAATTGCAAGTTATATGCAAACACAGGAGAGACAGTTGTTTCTCAGCTACCACACAGACAACAGCTGACCTCTTAAAGCCAAAAACTGGATTTGAAATCACGAAAAACAAAAGGTCCTGCTTCCTTTCATCTGGCTCTGGAAGGACACTGACATTATTTAACCACAAGTGGAGATTTGAGTAAATCAGGGCCACTATAAATAAACAGATATCGTAAGTAGCGTTTAGAGCTCTACATGTACAACTGTCTCTGAATCAAGTTTGAATTTCTTCAATATTTACCTATCCTGTTCCACAATATAAGGGCAAAGGGACCCAGATAACGCATCTTAGTCAAGGGTAAGAGTATCTTTAGCTTGGGATAGATCTTTGTCACACTCTCGTGGTTTATGAGTTCCCACAACACTTCACTCAGCCCTGCTACTCATTTTGCTTCAACATGCACAAGTTGTATTATTCTCCAGTTTTACTCCCATCCCCAAATGTTTATCTCTAAAAACAGTGCTGTGTTATAGGGGGTACCAAGATCTGTCCAAGGCATAACAAAATGGATTTATTGCTTCAATGAGCTGGTGCACTGCCCAAAAGATAAACCAGCAGAGGGAACAGAACACAGCATTCCTGGAGAGTGATGCTCCAAAAATGAAATCAGAGCAAAGCCTCAAGGACAGATAATGAAGCACAAACCAGCCTTTGGCAAATGGAAAAGAACAGGTTGATAAGGGGTTCAATGCATAAGGGTATTGCTAGTCTCCAACTATCAATAGAAGAAGGGTGTAGAAGGGTCTAGGCTTGGAAAACTGCAGAACTTTAGCCTTTTCTTCAGGTGTAAAAGTAAGGTAAGTAGGGTCCTAAGAACCTCTTTTTCTTATACATTTAATATGAGATCAGTACTGAGTACCTCACTTTGTTGGTTGCTGTGCTCCACCAGGGAGTTTCTTTATCCAGACAACTTTTACTTCCAATCAGCAATCCCAGTGATGGGTACATGGAGAAAGACACAAAAAGGTGAACAGACTTATCCATACATCAGGACAGTGTTAAAGGCCCACAGAATTCTCCTGCAGTTCAGACTATTCTTCAGTCAATGGTCAAGGGAACATTTCAACTTGGCTTGTCCCTGAAACCAGCATATCAAACAACTCCAGCAGAGATGTACAAAGAAACAGTCACTTCCTCTGAGTACAGACTCTTAATTTCTTCCAGATCCCTGCCATTTCAATTATATCCCCTCAAAAAACCTTTGTTTTCTTTTACTGCACTCACTAGTAACACATAAAAATCCACAGAGAATTCACATTCTAAATACTTTCTACCAAGACCTTGGGGATGATAGTGTACTTTACCCCTTTTCCACTCTGAGAGAAGCAGAGAGGAAAACCAGTACTGTTACATAGATATTATCACTACATCTTCAACCATATCTCCTTTTAGGCTTCAGAAAAAGCAATTAAAAAGATGTTTACCAGAAAAATTGAATAAAAATTATAGAGAGACAAGCTGTAGGTGCATAAGGATGTAAAAAGGAGAACAATTGGTGCCTCTTTTTTACTAAGGGACCCCCAAACACAGCCTGTGGGTCTTGTAACTTTGAGCTGATTGTTGCTTCTCTCCTGGTTTTATGTATTGAGATTAATTTATTTTTTTTTCTATTGCCAAATCACACACACTAGAACTGTTCCAAGGACCCTTTAAATTCACTTAAATTATGGCAGTATATCCTCTGGCCAGTGAGTGTCACTCCTTCCTAATGAATAGTAAGGGCAGCTCACATGGACTGAGTACAGATTCAGTTCCAGTGGGGACAAAGTCAAAGACCAGCACAGATTAATGAGTGAGCGAGGGCATCTAGAACAACAACAACCACAAAAGAACAAAACAAAACAAACAACACAAAACTCCCAATCAACCAAAAAAAAAGACCCTAAACATTAGGGTCCAATGGGGGACAAACCCTCAAAACAAAAAGAAAGCAAGCTCATTCACCTAGTCAACCAGTAAACCATGAATTTACAGTGAAGACATTGTCCCAGTAATCTCTAATCCCAGCAAAGAGGCACAGAAACAATAGGTGTAGAAAAGAGGACTGCAATTTGTATAGAATTAGAGACAGATACTGCAGATCCTGTTCTGCACAGCACAGCAGCAAATTGTGGTGGAAGGTACTTTGCTGCAAGGAGTTTGTCACTAGAGAAAGATGTGTTTCATTAAACAAAAAAATTCACTTTTTGAGTTCGCCATGGCTGAAAGATGCAGCCCTTACGTGCTTTAGGTTGTAAATCCTAAACCAATCTCAGCGATTTTCCCCTTTTATGTGATGAAAAGACCATACTTATTTTCCAGCCAGGCAATTTATATGGAGATAAAAAGAAGTGTTAAAAGACATTAAAAGTGCTAATAGTTTCCCAGACAGTTGTGCATCAAGGCCCTGTGGACACAGATCTCAGCATGTCCCAGGCCCTCAGGGTTTGATCTGGCCAGATTAAAGTGAGTGCTTATAGGCTGCCTTGTCTTGGAGCAACACATCTCCAGGGAGCAGCTGAGGAGATCTCTAGTACAAGAGCTATGTAATCTTGACAGATTTTAAACAGGATTATCTCCATTTTATTCTCTCCATGAGTAAAGGGAAGTAAAAAGAAAATTGTTCAGCTAGCACATACAGCATTACCTATTACTCAGAAGATCCAGAACACAGAAACAAATATGCTTTCCTAGTGTGTACAAGTACAGTAAAAAGCTATCTGTTCAGTACTACAAAACAACCAATACTCTCAGTTCTACTGCTCAGAAATGCACTTAATGTGATAATCTTCTGCTGGCTTCCCCCAGGCTCTCTGACAGTCTTTACCATCCAATTTTGAGTTATAGAAGATAATGCACAAGGTGCTTAGAACCAAGACCTTCCCAATACCAAGAGCTCCTTTTCTGATATCAACTCCCAGAAATGCTGGAAACCTCCTACTCTAGTGGTGCTTTACATTTCAAACAAGTCTTCCTTTTCCTATGTAATCCCAAACAGATGTGAGACACACTAATAACCCTGCTGGGGGCAGGCTGTCACCTCCATGGGGACACAGAAAGCTGCTGAAGTGAGGGGGAGTGGAAGAACATAATTACTACTCTGCACAACCATCATGGAAGTAGATTTGCCTATCCTTTACTGGAATTGCTGAGAAACTGAATATGAGACAGATGAGGGAAAGTTCCTGGTATTCTCAGCCTGAGTCAGATAGACTTGAGGAGGTAAAAATAACAAAAGTGTGTCAAGGTAGATACAAAACCAAATACAAGCCCAAAATGGTTCTCATCCAGGCAGTGATCTCACAGTCCATGATCACCCATGCCAGGCAGCAGCTCATGGATGGACGC